GTATTGAGTAAACTAGTTTTCACCCAGTAAATAAAATACGACCATAATAATTATATAAAAAACTGCTTTAATTTTTTTTTATTGATAACACTGTAGCTAAACAAAAAAAAGAAAATCAGGTGATAAACAGGAGGAAAAGTTACTCAGCTGGTATCTTTACCTATTTATATACAGTTCCTGAGTTTTAATTAGTGCTCTTACAGATGCCCAAAACGCCCAAAATCTCATCCATAATGCTCTCGTTAATCGTACTTTAGACGTGCAGAACCGTACGTGTCAGTTTTAAATAGCTTTCAACACCTTATTCGTTTAATGATAATGATTTCGGAAATACATACGTAATCTTATATACTTAATTGTAAAACACCACATAAAATCGTGACCTTGAGACATTCAGACACAACAAACAAATTTACATCTATTTAGTTTATATTCTTTATTGCACTTAAAATATGATACAGAAAAAAATAACACAAGTAAACATAGTTCACAAAGGTGGACTTATCTCAAAAAAAGATCTCTTCCAGTCAACCCCTGGTTGTGGAAGAAGATGTCAGCGAGCAATATAGTGCAAAAAATATACTAAATATATACTAGAAATAAAGGTAATAATAATCACATATACATACATATATAGATACATATATACATAGGTATATATTACTTATAAAAATATATAATACTATACATATATAAAACCTAATGTAAAGACTCTACTTATACATACATACATACATATACATACTTAATAATATGAAAATAGAGAAAGGTGCTGATTGATACTGTCTACATTTGTGATGGTTTCCATAGTACTGCGGCATGGACAGAAAAAGAATTTTGTTGGAATTTAGTATTGCTCCTAGGAATGTTAAGCATAGAAGCACTGCAAGATCTTCTGGAACGTGTAGGGATTGGTAGAAAGTTAAAACGGGAACGAAGGTAAGGAGGGAAATTTTGATTTTTAAGGATATTATAAAGGAATGATAGGGTGTGCATATTACGGCGAAGACGGACGGGGAGCCACTAAAGTTGAGCACGGAAGTCAGAGATGTGGTCATATTTCCGCAAGCCAAAGATAAAACGTATGGCGAGATTCTGAAGACGCTTCAGTTTATTAAGTAACTCCTCTGTCACATCCAGGAAGCAGACGTCGGCGTAGTCGAGAATGGGTAATAGAATGGATTGCGCTAGCATTACTTTGGTTTTGAATGGGAGAAAGTATTGGAGACGCTTGACGCTATTTATATCCTGTTAAAAGCTGTTATTAGGGTAATTTTTAAATGTTTCATTCGTAACTTTTGCTTATCCCGTGGGAACATTTACTTCTTTTATTTATACTCGATCATTATTTTACACGATCTTCTTTTATTAAGGCAGTGGTAGCCCAGTGGTAACGCGTTCGATTGGCAAACCAAATGAAGCGGGTTCAAATCCCCCGTCTCGAACTTCTGATAATTTTATAAGCGAATCATTGCCAACATGATTACCACTTGTCTTACGGTGAAAGAAAATATCATGAGGTAACCTTTATGTCTGAGAGAACCTAGTGAGTTTTTGAAAGACATGTGACGTCCGCCAACCCGCACTTGTCCAGTGAGGTGGACTATGACCTGATCCCCCTCGTATTGAAGGGAGGCCCGTGCCCAGCAGTGGAACGTTAAAAAGTGCTAAATATATTTATACACAAGCGACTTAACCTAGCTTTTTTTAACTATGGGAAATGCATTTATTCATACAATCCATATACATACAAGTGGTTATGTGGGACTCGCCGGCATTTTTGCTGTGGAAAAATATCTCATCTCTGAGAAATCTATACCAACCGTCATGAAAACTTTTTAACAAAAAAATAAAAACCGACTTCAAAAAAAGCACTAAAGTAAAAAATAACTACATGGTAGTGTTCATTTACTATACATACCTAATCAAATATTTTCGAAGTCGGTGTGCTTTGCTTTGTATCGGCTGGCACCGACTTCGAAATTATTTGATTAGTTATGTATTTAATAAATAGGTAGGCTTTATTTACTTAGCCAAAGTTCTGGCCTTACCATCAGATCAGGTCAACAATACCGAACCACTGTACTATCAACGGAAATAGAAACATTTGCAAAATTTCAAGTCAATATGACAATTAGAAGTAGGTTAAATTAATCATTAGCTATTTTTCCGCCCTTATGGGTGGTATTTATTTTTTTGAAATTTAAATAAAAACAATCTAGAAGTATACACTTTCAAACAAAACAATAATTGTCCTAATCGGTTAATAAATGACGGAGTTCTGAGGTAACAAACATAAAAAAATACAGCTGAATTGAGAACCTCCTCCTTTTCGAGGAAGTCAGTTGAAAAAGCATGAAAATCTGCGCTTTGTTTTTTTTAATACATTCCTATCGGCAAAAGTCACATAAATGCGTTTGTACATCATTACAAATTAGTGAAATGTATTATTTTTGTATAATTATAAATCTAGATAAAAATATTCAAAATACAGGTTTGATTTTTTTAAACTACACTAGCTCCAACCAACAAAAATACATCAAAATCAAACTATATTCATTACACAGTTCTGCTATCATAAGTCACCACATCAACTCCGAACCATACGTTTGTGCTCATTAAAAATGGATTAAAATCAACATTAATGACAAAAGACTGTTTTGAATTTTTTAAGTAAAAAAAAATCATAAAATTGTCAGATAAAAATAAATGTTTCATAAGAAGTACCTACATACTATCTATACATGAAATAAAATTGTAACTAAGTCGAATCTGTACATTTATTTATTTTTTGGAAATTCTTTTGCAATCTTCTATACAGATAAATAAAAACTAACTAAATAAAAACTAAAATTATATACGGTACTTATAAGAAGAATAGTACAGTCATTTGGTGCTCAAAAAAGAAAGTACCTGGAAAGTTTTCCAGTAGTCTTGAAAATTGGTGATTTTATAGATTTTGATGTCCTCTTTCCGAATTTCAATTCTGAAAAAATGGCGTCTAAACGCAGTTTTTGGCGATATCTCCTTTCAGAGTTATTTATTGATAAAAACATTTACGTACAAAATGAAACTAGAGAAAATATCCTACAATTTATGTTCTAATATTTTTTTCTGTAAAATCAATAGTTTCGGCGTACGAGCGCCGCAAAGTGTTATTTAACACGCGTTTTCGCGGAAGAACTCGTTTCCACACCATCTTGAGTTACAGTGAGCGTAGCACACACACACAGTATTATTCATATAGACTAACACATTTTGACGACAGGTTTGGCTCAGTTTGTAGTGACCCTACTTGCTGTGCCAGCGGTTGCGGGTTCGAATTCCACAGGGGGCATTAATTTGTGTGATGAGCACGAGTGTTTATATTTATAATATTATGTATGTATTTTAAGTTATATGCATAAGTGTAATGTATCAACTGTCTGGTATCTATAACACAGGCCTCGTAGCTTACCATGGAACTAGATGGTGATGTGTGTTAATGTCCTAACGTATCAAAAAAATGTTCAAAAAAATGCAAACGTACCCAGAGGAATAATATTCCAAAGTATATAAATATGGTATAAAATAAAATAAAAAATTAAGTACACATACTAATTATAATTTTTGCATTTATAATATTTTTATTTAATTATAAAGTTATTGTCATCAGATTGTAGGATACTATGATAAAAGTATTTTATGTTATTGTACTGTAAAAATAACATCATTCGTTCAGTCATTTTGTCAAATATTGATACATTTTTCGACATTGTCAAGCACTAGTCGATGTCAAATGGACTCACTCGACAGTTTTGTCATTCGTTCTGAATGCTACAATCCAGCAAGTTTATGATGGTTGTCAGATGTCAACAATACATAGACACATCGACTATATTTAACATAGATAATACGACACTTCATTTTACATTTCATTAAATTTTGTGATAAATAACAATAAATGTAATAAAATAATGTACTTACAAGTGAAAATAAATAGTGATGCTTCCGCCGCTATGGTTTTTACACCATTTAACAGAACATTTAGTCATTTTTGAGAGATGTTTTGTTGATAAGTAAGTGCTTAAGACTTACGCAAAAACAAACGACCAAGGCTAGAATTTCCTGGTTACTGACAAGACCAGTAAAGGTACGTCTGCTATATTATGCTCTACGTATACTTCTGTGAAGTAGAGTATAATCCATTTTAATAACAAATGCATCGTTTTTGTTCCAAAAAGTCAACTATTATTTAGTAAATTAAACATACTACCGGGCACATTTGAATAGGCACCCCGGTCAAAACATATTGTCCCTTTTATTATTGTATATAAAAAAATGATTGTGACTAAATACGCTATGAACGTAGCAATCTTGCAGCCAGATTTCGATCCATATTAAATATTCTACCTAAATACTAATAAATATAAAAATATAAGAACAAGGGTTTTCAAACTCAGTTTTTATTACTGTTTATAGTATGAAAATTACTACATTATAAAGAATATTAAGTTAGAAATATTTTTATGACATCACAACTAATTGTAGTTTGAGAGTTAAAAAATAATATTTTATTTATTAATAGTTAGTAGGTAATGTAGAAATCTACAAATAAAACAGCGCTGTAACATCTGACTTATTTTTATTTTATAGGTACGGAATACATATTAATAAAACAAAAGAATAATGTAATATACAGATAAATAAAGTTGCAGTGTCTGTTTGTAATATCAAAAGAACAGCTTTTTACTAAATGCATATGAAATTATATACGATACTTATAAAAAAATATTATTATTTAAATTTTTGTCTCTGTTTGTCTATCTGTTTGTTCCGGCAAATCTCCGAAACGGCTAGACCGTTGTAACTTATGTTACTGTTATTTTAGAAAAAGAATTAGGGTTCCGCTCAAAAAAAAACTTACCTAGGGACGTACCCTAGCGAAGCTAGGGTAAGTCTCTAGTCGCAAATATATGTATTATAATCTAAATACATATAATAATATTTTTTATCTTTTAATGAACCTTGGCAGTTTTAACTTTAGAGTTTCCATTTTGTACGCTATTACTTTTATTCGGTTTGACATAACTGTTGTAGTAGAATCGCCCAAATAAGTTTATGAATGTTGCCGCATAAATAATTGTCATCATTTTCAAAAATATTGGAAATCCACAGTCGTAAAATAGACTTAGTGTTGCTTGAATAATAAATATACAAAATTGTACCTGTAACATAATATTATTATAATTAGGACACTACTTAATTAAAAAAAATCTTAAGTACAGTTCGTCGCCTTATATTAGTGCTTATTTGTTCAAACGATCAATATATACTTCTTGTATTTGAGTTTTATCTTCTATTTAAAAAAATGCTTTATATATATACATATATAGATAAAATATTTTTTCAGCTTTATTACAATAAAATGTGTATTCTATACCAATAGATCGGCATATAAAAGTCAATCATTCTGTATCAAAACTTTTTCAGCAAATTGTAAAATTGAAATCGTTTGAACAAATAAGTTCTGAGACGACGAATTATATACCGATGACAAAGCTACATACTATTACTGATAACCCATACAAATAAATTGGACAGCTCTATTCATGTAAACCTAAAAAGCTGGCAAGCTATTTTATTTACGGTTAGTATAGATTTCTCAGAGATGAGATATTTTCTCGCAGTAAAAAGTATTCTATATATTGACCCGGATAACCAGCTATCATCACACTTAATTTCATCAAAATCTGTCCAGTGGTTTTCTCATGAACCGTTCCCAGACTGCGGTCAAGATATGATAAAATTATTATTATAAAAGCAAACTCGGAAACTCCTTCAATTTTTAAACCGGTTTCGGTCAACGATCCCAAACCGAAAGGCATTTCGGTTTAAGGAGACGGTTACTTTCTTTAACTGGGAGAACGGTTCTAGACGAATTTAGGGAACCTAAATTAACCGGTTAAAATGACTTTTTATGCGTTTACATTTAGCGCGTGTTTGCTAATAGTAAATGGCTCTTTAATAGAATATGTACATTTCTTACTAATGAATGAATGAACTTTCAGTATCAAAACCGAAATATTTAGTTAATAACGGTTAACCTTTATTATTTCGGTTTACTAAACCGTTCATTTTCATTAACTGGATAAAGATCGAGCGATAAATTAACTATTACATTACCAACATAAACGGTTTATTTAACCCTGTGGCCTGTACAAAAGTTTCGTTTTTGTTTTTTGGCCACGGAACACAAATTATAATAATTTTAATAGTCCTTACCAATTGCATCATTGTGAGATACTTTTTCCACCATAAATATTTTTTGTATTCTTCGCCTAGACCGGCTATAAGGTAATAGCTGTACATAATAGCGTGGACTAAAGCATTCACGTGACCTATTAACACCGATTGGCCACCTGTAAATTGATAAAAATATGAAAAAGAGCGTGTATCAATGTGTATTGTGAACACGCGCAAGAAGTACAATTTCTATAGGTTATCGGTACTTTTTATGAAATTCAATTTATGTTTTAAATAAGTATGGTAGGAGAGATAAAAATTTTTTTTTTATCGATTTAAAAAGTGAAATAATATTTTGTTATTCCCATTGTACAGATAGTGTTTAGATAAAATTTAATTTTCTATCAAATGTTGTAATCTATAAAGTTAAATGGAAAATGGAACATAGAGACCATACGATGAAAAGGCCCATGGGCGAAAAGGAAGATTGGTAGACCAAGAAGAAAGTGGACTGGTAGTGTTATACAGGAAACAACTGGTAAAACTTAAGCAAGGTCAAGGACACATGGAAGAAGTTGGAGGAAGCCTTTATGCAAATAAAGGGTCCATATTTCAATGAAACATACTAACAATACCTAATTTAAGAAAACTTACTAACAACTTACTACCTACGTTTAATTAAAACTTGGTAATCTATATACTTATTAGGTCTTTGACCTATGAAATTGCCTTTTAATATAGAAAAAGTTAGTCATTTTTTTATAAATATTTTTTTCTAGTAAAAGTATATATTAATAGTGTTGCTTAGTAATTTGTTTTTAAATAATAGCAAACTAAATTAAAATTATTATCCTTAATTAATTTTAACTTTTTTAAAGTACACATAGAACAATTTAATGGCTTAAATAATTAATACTATATTTTATATTTTTCTTTATGGCTATAAATATAATAATGGCAACACTAAATATAGATTACTAATTAATATTTTTAAAATTGTAATAATTATAAAAATAATAGCAAAAATTAAATAAATAATTTTCCATATTCAATTATAATTAAAATTATAAAATTATAAAAATGTTTAAAGTTAAAAAATATTGTAATGTAATTGGTGCAATTTTCATTTTGTTAATTGTGGGTAGGCTGTCTGTAACAACTATACGTTCAAGACATGTAACACCTCAGTCTCTCCCGTGACCATGGATGCTGTAAAGCATTCGAAACTTCGGGAACCAAAAATCGAAATAAATCCGCGAAATAATCCGAAAAGATAGTTTTATTTAATAATGGCACCCACTTATCATTTCTTTTTTATCTTGAAAATTTGAGGTGAACCATTATTGATGTGATGATAGACCATTATTGTTTTGATGTTAACGTTGAAAGCTGCCGCTATCTCAACCGTAGATTAAGTATCGTCAGCCTCCACTATCACCTTTAATTCATCGTTGTTCGTCATTTTTCAGATCAAAATTTCCATGTCGGAAGCGTTTAAACCAATAACGAGTCGTGCGTTCGTTTGTAGTACTCAATCCGTACACGTGATTAATATTGCGAGTTGTTTGTGCGGCGGCGTTGTTCCCACGACGGAATTCGTATTCCATAATTACTCATATATTTATTGTGGCCATATTGATGAAAAAGAAACAAATGTAGTGAAAACAAAACACTAACCAATAAATAAATGACTGAATTTCATAATAAAACTCCATACTTTTAAAATAAATTTCATTTGAATTTAGAATTCTTGCCAGTTATTCATAAATTACGTTTCAATTAATGGTCAGTATTGTAAAACGGCAACTTCATAGGTAAAGACCTATAATTTATATTCTATATGTATTTTGGTACCTTTGTTGTGCCAGTTATATGATATTTTTGCTATTCCCATACAAATGTTGCATACAATTATGAAATAAGCAATGCCTACCTGGAAAATATGTAAGCCCAAACCAGCTTGCCAATGGCATCATCGTATGGTGATGAACGTGAAGGGGCGTGATCTGCCTGAAAGATTTTCTTAGCACAAAGAATACGGTGTCTAGTAGGTCAATTAATTTCACCACAAAAAATATGTAAACATTTGGCACAATCTGAAATATGATAACTTATTAAAAACAACTAAAAAATATATATTTGTTATCTAAATTTACTTCTACATATTATTTAGGAATATTAAGTAAGTTGCGTATTTTCTAAATATTTCAACGACACCTTTGGCTCAGTTTGTAGTGACCCTGCTTGCTGTGCCAGCGTTCGTGGGTTCGAGTCCCGCTGGGGGCATTAATTTGTGTAATGAACACGAATATATGTACTCCAGTCATGGGTATTTATATTTGTAAGGTGTATGTATTTAAAGTTATATATTATGTATAGTGTATCAACTATTTGGTATCCATAACACAAGCCTCGTAGGTTGTAGCTTACCATTGAAGTAGATGGTGTTGTGTGCTAATGTCACAAGTTATTTATTTATATTTTTTTATTAATAAAACCAAAAAAATTGCAGTAATGTATTTATAAAATATACATACATATATCCAATAAATTGCTTAGATCGCATAAGTAATAATAGCTAGAAAATTGTACAAAGTCTTTTAATACTTTCATAGAATTACGCAATTATTTTTAACTAGCGACTCACCATCGCTTCGCTCGGGTTCGTCCCTAATAAAAAACGGAAACAAATATATCCCACGGGAACCGTATTTCATTTTCATTTCGTAACCAAATTTCATCCCGATCCGTTCAGCCATTCTGGCGTGAGTGACTAACAAACATCCATCATTTGCGAATGGGAAATATGCGTGTGATTTAAATAAAGATGTTTCTTTTTAAAATCTTTTTTATTTGAATTAAGCCTATATCTATATTTTTAATCTAGTTTATTTTTGATTAAGAAAATGGTTATTAAAAAGTGCAAATACCTAAAAATGTAAAAAAAAACATAAAAATAAGTTATATTAATATAAAATATACAACAGTACAATAAAGTAGGTAATAATATTATATTATGTAAATATATTACCATGGCTGCTCTTTCCGACGTTGGATCATCTACGGGTGAGCATCGAAAATCGAAGTCTTTATTGAAAATGTATACTGAACCCTGTAATTAAACATTATTATATTTAACATAATTACCAACCCACCCTACTTAATACCACTACTGTCTAAATACAAAAGTCCCTATGTTTTACTGCGTATGTTTAATGTTTATACTTCGTTGTCCTTTAAGCTGAAACGACTGGATGTATTTGAATGAAATTTAATACACAGATAGACGTAGCGTGAATGAGTATCAAACATACACACACACACACACACACACACACATAAACTTTCACATTTATAATGTATTCAGCCCTTATTAACAGGACTGCTGAGCACGGGCCTGCCATGTACGGGTTTGCGGACTTCACATGTCATTCGAAAATTCGCTAGGTTGTCTCAGACATGCAGGTTTCCTTACTATGTTTTCCTTCATCGTAAGGTTAGAAATGGTTCAAATGAAAATATGAGAGGTACGATACCTGGGATTTAAACCCGCTTCACTCGTTTTCTCAAGTGGGCACGTTACCACTAGAGTACCACTGCCGTATTGTAGTGGTCCGATAATACATACGGTTATTAATCTCTTAGATCGAGAACAGCTAATGATGATATGAAAATTGTTATAATGTAGAAAATCTCATCCATCCATCTCTCCAAGTTTAAATAGTTGTTTGACTTGTCTTTGCAATTATGACTCCTTCATAGGTTTTTAAGAGCACACAAGTAGTAAATAACAGATAAAATGTAAAGTAAGCCACTGGTAAGTATTGAATTCAAAGGTTAATAACAGTTGGTAAACGTTACAAGGCTTCCATCTTTAGAAGAAAATAAATGATTCTAAAAAAACATACAGCATATTACAATCAGTACCTGGGCCACCGAGCTTCGCTCGGAGTTTTTGGTTGAAAAGTACAATTTTCTTAAAAAAAAAACTAAAAACTTGAATAAATACAAAAAAAAATAATTATACCTCTGTATCCGACCGGGATTCGAACCCGGACATATATGATTCTCAACCTTGCGACTTCTTTAAAAAATTAACTAAAAACTTGAATAAATATTAAAAAAAAAGTAAAAACTTTGTATGCGACCGAGATTCGAACATGGACACTTGTGATTGTTGATCTTGCATCTTGGCCGCTTGAACACGATGCTTACACCCGATCGTGCAAATATCGACCATATTTTGCGTGGAATAGTAAAAGAAAACTGCATGAAAACTCGAAAACTCGCGTTTTCTTCGACATAAGACTAATCTAGATCGATTTATCGCCCCCGAAACCTCCGTATACTAAATTATATGAAAATCGTTGGAGCCGTTTCCGAGATTCAGATTACAATTAAAAAAAATAGTATTATTATTCGCCAATAGATGTCAGAAAGAGTCATTTTTTTCAGTTTAAGTGGCAACATTAGGACTACCCAAACGCCACCTTTTTATTATTATTTTTTTCCAATAAAAAAAATAAGTTTATGTTTTAGTTGATTATCGATAAAGTTGATTATTGAAAACACGAATAAAACAACATTTTCTAAAAATACCTGGGCCACCGAGCTTCGCTCGGAGTTTTTGGTCCACAGTACAATTTTCTTTTAAAAAAAAAAACAAAAAACGAATAAATACAAAAAAAAATTATAACCTTGTATCCGTCCGGGATTCAAACTTATTCAATCTTGCGCCTTGGCCGCTTGACCATGATGCTTATATCCAAGTGAGCGAAATTATCGAAAATAATATTTTGCTTGGAATAATTCAACAGAAAACCGCATGAAAATTCGAAAACACGCGTTTTTCCAGACATAAAACAAATCTAGATAGATTTATAGCCCCCGAAACCCCGCGTTTACTAAATTTCATGAAAATCGTTGGAGCCGTTTCCGAGATTCAGATTATATATTGATATATAAATATATATACAAGAATTGCTCGTTTAAATATATTAGATTAGATAGATAGATAGATATATTTACAGAATATCACTTAAGGATCTTTCCATACATAATATTATATGTCATATGTCAGACATTAACAACGGCTACCATGGCAACAAACAGTTATCAACAAGCTTCATCATGTCGCTTTTTGGCTGTAGGTATACGCGCGCATCCTAAAATTTAACTCTCATATTTTTTTCCAAACGTCTAAAAAAAGTATAACTTCAAAATAAACTTACCACATAAAAAATATATAAGCTGACGAGTATTTGAAATATATTATATATTTTGATTACATTTTTTAGATCATATGGTTTTCTATCTTTCATGAACCATGGTCCCAGCCTTAAACAAAAAAAGTTGTATGCGACAAGTATTGAGATAATTTTGAGTGGATGGCTGACCAGGAAGTAATCTTTGGATAGAGGATCTGAAAATAAAAAAAAATATATGAAATAGATACTAGATTTGCTCGTTAATAATAAAAAAAACCTTATACATCTACATATATAAAAGAACTAATTTAGCAACCAGTCTTGGCATCTTCTTTTTAATTTTTTTATTTTACCCATGACATTATACCATTAGTCTATCCCATTTGTGAATTCCAGCTGAGTTTGAGTTTGAGCGTCGAAGAATCAATCAGTTAAAATAATTTGATTATATACGCATAGTGAATTAATCCCTCCACGAGCGCGGACACGCCGGCGCTACAGTTAACAATAGATTTCTTAGAAATTTAATTAATTTCTTAGAAATTGACCTGGAGGTGTTAAAGTTTGTATGTTAATTTGGTTTTAGGTTTGTCCTTGTTTTGTGGAGAAATAGAAGTGAAATGAAAATAAATAGATTGTTAAACAGCAAGTATGTGAATTATGTAAGGTCAGGGCCGTCTTTAACCTATTGAAGGCCCTGCTGGTCACATAAGGATCGCGGGCCCATGTATACATATAAGTAGATAAACAACATTCTAAAATTATAATAATCTGACATTTGACATTAGCGACTAACTGGTCAATCTTTCTTGAAGCATTGTACTTCTATTCCGAGAGCTGGCGAGGAATTTTGGGATGGTCCTTTTGGCAAGTTGAAATTGTGAAAAAATATAATTTCGTGAATTGGCGAGTCCAGTCCCGCGAGTCTGATATAGCTGTAGCGGTTATTTCGTTACTGGGCAGTATTTTACATTTGCAAAAAATATATCCAAAAAAACATATTTTTGGCAACTTGATTTTTATTTAATCTTTTAATTTAGTTTTGATATAATTCAAAAATAGAACCCCAGACGTTTTTGTCGATTATAAAGTATTGCCAGACCTCTCCAAAGATTCATTTTTTTTATTCCAAAAAATACACTTTTGGCAATCTGAAATTTTAATCACGTATTTATTGAGTAATTTTTAATAATACTTGCCAATCGCCACGTCTGGCGAGTCCAAGATTAAACAATAATCGAGTTGCCTAAAATATATTTGCCAATTGTATTGTGTATTGTGCAAGCGTAATTATTGTTTTATACTTTTTTAATTAATTCTCAATTTTAAGAAAAAAGTAAAAACTTGCTAAGTGCGAGTCGGACTCGCGCATGAAGGGTTTCGTAACATTATCTATAAAAATAGCAAAAAAAAACATTCATTTGACTTATTTATTTAAAAAAAATGCTTGTGCCAATAAAACGTTAATAGATAAACGTTGTATTGGTTCTTCAAAGTTAGCGTAAAAACACAATCTTGTAAGACCCAAAACAACGTATAAGCTTTTACTTGTATGTGGTTCGTGTATGATATTGTGAACCAAACAATATTCTACGATTAAAAATATTGTTTTTGCAATTACGTTCCTATAGCCCTAACTGGTAGTAAGATAATTAAAACTAATTTAGCGGTTCTCATGATACGTTTTTCTTGTCCTATTGAAAGTGCTTCTTAAGCTATTTCGTTTTTTTGGAATTTGTGAACTATTGAATATACTGTTACGTCGTGGCATTTCATAAAGGGCCACATTGTGACCCGTTTTATGAAAAAAAAACGATTTTTGATTTTTTTGTAGTTACGTTCATCTGGTTCTTTCGTCTTGTCGTCGTTATGACACAACATCCTTCCTTTCATTTATTCATCTTTTATTCTTAAAATATCATTTCACGCATACTCATCTTGCAAATCCTATTATATATATATATATATATATATATATATATATATATATATATATATATATATATATATGAGATGTGATTTTTAAATCGAATATTGTTGAAGGGCTGGAGAGTAACATAACTTACTTAGTAAGTTTCAAACACTTTAAAAACCAATCCACCGTGAATTCAGATTGATACAATTCTTTATATAGAGATAACTGAAGACCTAGAATAACGTAGGTGTTCTTCTATTTACCTATCTAAGGTACTAGTGCATATGGATAAATTTAAATATATCGAAAAAAATAATATCTCACTAACAGGTGATTGTAAAAACGTTACGTAAATTTGCTTTAATGAAACATAATATGTACATAATATTAAAATAACTATCTTTATGTAACACTTCAAAAGTACCTATTAGTTTCTTTGTATGCTAATTGGGGCACAATGATTTCATGACTTGTTAATTATACTTTACTATACTATATATGTACATAATCATTTATGATACGAGTGAATGTATAGATTTACATATTGAATTTTAAAAAATGTTACTTAAATTACTGAAATACACTAAGCTTTGTGTTTTTTCATAGCTTTGTGTACTCACTTGTGGTGTATGTTCAATTTTTAAAATTTAAATATTGCATGAATAGCTCCATGAATTTTACAACTATATTTATAATTTATAATATTCGACGTTACCTAAACAAGTGGAAACGCAGATTAAGGTATATTTTATACTAGCGGCTCACCCTCGCTTCGCTCGGGTTCGCCTCTGGAAAAACAATAACAAATCTATCCCTCGGGAATCGTATATTTTTCCGAGATAAAAAGTAGCCTATGTGTTATTCCAGTCTATAATTTATTTCTGTGCCAAATTTCATCCAAATCCGTTCAGCCGTTCTGCGTAAAAGAGTAACAAACATCCATACTCACAAACTTTCACATTTATAATATTTATACAGATGTTCAAAGTCCAGTCAATTAAAAAATCTTATATAAGGATATGCAATTCACAGCTTAGAATGCCTTACTCAGAGGTTCAATCAAAACTATTTTTATTTATACGCTAAAATTCTTTTAAATTAATTTTTTAAATATCTCCTTATAGGTTATTACATAAAATTATATTACATAATTGATATACATAATAAATATTGTTGTGATAGTACAGAGCCCTCGGACTCGACTTCTACTTGACTAATACAAATATGTACCTATTTGCCAATATTTAGTTTAGTCATGTTAAAAAGAGAATACACAAATAAATCATGTTTTATTTTATTAATTATTTTTAAAGTAATATAATCGATGCTATAGCAATAAATTAATTAAGAACACTGAATTTATAAGTGCATAATTATATGAATCAGATGAACAAGAAAGCTTTTACTATGCACTGCGAGCCACATCCAACTTATAGTATTTGTTTTTCAGGGTCCCGTTTGCCATCACTAATAATAAGTATTTAATTTGTTTAAGTAGGTTTTTTTTATTTAATGATGTTGTTTTTATACGTTAAATAATAGTTAACAATAAAATAGACTTAATTCAAATATTTGGACATAAATAAACATTTTATATATGTAGCAATATACTCTATGATAAACATCATAGCCATAGATGACAAATAAAAATCATAGCTTTCCTTATTTTATGTCGTTGATGTCAAATATAATTTCGTTCAAAAATCATAAAATATTTTAATTATATAACGTTTCCTTTTACTATTAAAATTAAATATTATTTTCAATAACCGATATCTTCCTTTTAGTTTTTTCACCTCATTCATATGTTCTAATAAATTAAACCATAAATAAACGATTAATTTCATAATAAATTAATTAGTTATACAATAGTCGCAATGTAAAAGGAGGTTAGGTTAGTGTTTAACCTGTATGTATATTTGTATGTTCGATCCTATGTTCCCTCGTAAATACTAACCTAATCACGATTCGTCTATTTATTTATTAATGTTGATATTGCAACTATTGTATACATGTATTAGAAAAATATTATTCTAATGTGAAAATATTATTTCAAGCGTTTTCAGTAGCTGTATACATTTTTATGCATATACAAATGGGTACATAAATACAACGTGACACGTGTATAGTGTATACCTACTAATATTCGATTACCTGTTATTAATAATAAATTTATTAAAATATATACCTAATTATGACAAAACTTGACGATTACTTAATTTTGAAACAAAGCTCGTACATTTTCTTTTACAAAGTATGATGTTGATATGAATTAGAAAACCTTGTAAAAAAACAACATCTGTTAAAAAAAAACATCTCATTGTTCGTAACTGTACCCACCTATTAGAACATGGAATATAGAGGTCATGAAATATCAATCTCTTCGAAAATTACTTTTAAAATGGCCAATGGAATCGGTGAATGAAGTCAGTTGGCAACCTCAGTTTTCTATTAAGCTGCATCAAAATTGTCTGAACAAGCAATAATAATTAAGTATAACAACCTTCGGGATTTACCTACGATGCCGCAGATAGACACATAAATCTACACGTTTTATTAACCTTACGTAAGTTCAATATCAAGTCATTCTATTAATTAAAGAAATAAATATATCTAATATTAATACGGTCACTATAAAATGTTGTAACTTAACTATTTCGGTAACGATTTATGACGAAGTTGTCGGATAGATGCTTCCATAGATAGGTAATGAATAAATTAACCGACTTGGTTTAACATTATATCTCATAGCTTTTTGCGGTAGAAATAATGCGTTGCGAGACTTGCAATATTTTTACAGAATGTTTTTGATAGGATTACTTAGTCAAATTTGAGGACAAAAAAAACATAACCTATTCATCTATATAAATAAACATGAATAGCTAAATGTATTGCTAAGCGCAAAAGATGAGAACCACTGGACTGATTTGGCTAATTTTTTTTATGCAAATATTCGCTAAAGTCTAAGGAAGGGTCTCATGAAGAGAAGAATTGGAAAAAATGTCCGGAAAAATGTAAAACATCATTTTTTTATCCAGAACTGCTACTGGGCCACTTAATTTGACAGAACGAGGTCTGTCGGGTCAGCTAAGCTAAGCAGATAAAATATAAATATTCATTAACAATTGACGGAAATATACACCATAACATAAAAACACAACCGAATAGAGTGCTTCCTCCTTTTTGAAATCGATCAAATATTTGATGTATGTAGGTATTTATATATGAGTGTATATATTATTTGAATGTTTTTATATGACTAGAGACAAAGAAAGATATTCGAATAATAATTAATACATTTTAATATTGATACCAGAAACAAAAATAGCTTTGTATGTAAAAGAAAAAATCAATGATACGAAATAACCTTCTACGTGATTATGTCGAATCGTTATTTATTTCTTTTATATGCAAGGAAAACGTCTTTTGACATAGTTTTATATATGTTATTATCGTATCAAACTTTTAAAGTAGATTAGCTCAATGTCGCTCCGCTCGGGTTCGTTCCTAGGAGATATTATCCCGCAATAAAAAGTATCCTTTATGTTGACCCAGATAACCGGCTATTATCAAAGTAGTGATTTTCTCGTGATGTGTTCCCAGACAGAAACCAAAACTCTATTATTGCTTCTGTATCCAAAATAATGACGATTTATATATATATATATATATATATATATATATATATATATATATATATATATATATATATATATATACTATACAACTCGAAGTTTGGGGTTCATTTAATTCCGCCCGCGTTTAGAACAAAATTCTTAGGTTTTACATATAAATATACTCTTACAATGCAGTTTTTGTATTTTTTCTCAGAAATGAGACATTTTTCCGCTGTAAAAAGTATCCTATATGTTGACCCGGATTACCAGCTATCACCATACCAAATTTCATCAAAATCCCTCTAGTGGTCTTTCTGTGATGCGGTAACAGACAGACAGGCAAAAATTCTAAAAACTATAGATTCGGCCTCTGTATCGATAATAATGTTTATTTCAATAAGATTTTCCAAAAAATATTTAATGTACAGATCCGGCTTAGTTACAATTTTATTATATGTATAGAGTTATTTCAATTCGGTGTAGTAAGCGATATCAGTAGGTATCAGGTAGGTAATTTTTACTATGCCATTTTGAAATAGCTTTATTATAACGAAATAAGAAAACTAGAACGTTTGTTCGAGAGATTTTATCCTTGCCATAAACTTTATTGGTTAGTAAAGTTTCATAAATTATACCATACCTACCATAATTATTATAAATCTGGACAGATTTCCTTTAAATGAAAATTAGTTTTAAAATACACTGAAGTAACATAACCTATATACTGATAGGTAAATAAGACGCAGTCGGGTTAAAAGAGGGTAAGTGTTCAAAATAATACTCACGAACTAAATCTTCAAATAAATATTTGTAGCCATCATATAAATATTCCACTACACCTGCCATTTCAACAGAACTGTTTGAGGAGGTTCTTACTGATAACTAAATGTATATTTTATTTCATGCATACTTAACATCTAATGACCTATGGATAAAATACTTGCTATTTTGCTAATATATATTTTTTATGCTAGAGATGCGTAATTGTAATTGAAAACCTCTTTGACTAAAATTAGAGGTTTTTATCATATTTTTTATACCTAATTCATTTATTAATTTTATATAGTAATAATTTGAAAATAACATGGTAATGTAGTATTTATTGTATTCAGCCCTTTTTAACGTTCCACTTCTGGGTACGGGCCTCCATTCAAAACGAGGGGGATCAGGCCGTAGTTTTTTATATATACGAGTATATTCACATGTCTTTCGAAAAATTGCTAAGTTCTCTCAGACATGCAGGTTTCCTCACGATGTTTTCCTTCACCGTAAGGCAATTGGTAATCATGTTAGAAATGATTCGCACATGAAAATATCAGAGGTGCGAGACCTGGGATTTGAACCCGCTTCACTCGGTTTCCCAAGCGAGCGCGTTACCACTGGGTACCACTGCCCATAAATGTAGTATGTAACATGCCAAAGGAACTTTTCTGTTCGCGCCCTTATTTAAAGCTCCTCATATTTCCTCCTTTTCTAACTTGTAGCCTGATAAAATTAAGTGATAAATACAAGAAAATTATACTATACTAAATCTATATCTATACGTATAATAAAATTCTAACTAAACTGAATTGTACATTAAATATTTTTGGAAAATCTTATTGAAATAGTCATTATTATCAAGTACCTGGGCTACTGAGCTTCGCTCGGAGTTTTTGGTTAAAATGTTAATTTTCTTATTAAAAAAAAACTTGAATAAATTCAAAAAAAAAATTATACCTTTTTATCCGACCGGGATTCGAACCCGGACACCTATGATTGTCAATCTTACGTCTTTTAAAAAAAAACTAAAAACTTGAATAAGTATTAAAAAAAATTAAAGTAAAAACTTTGTATGCGACCGAGATTCGACCCTGGACACTTGGCCGCTTGACCACGATGCTTATTCCCGAGCGTGCAAATTACCGACCATATTTTGCGTGGAATAGCAAAAGAAAACTGCATGAGAACTCGAAAACACGCCTTTTCTCAGACATAATATTAATCTAGATCGATTTATCGCCCCCGAAACCCCCCGTGCACGAAATTACATGAAAATCGATGAAGCCGTTTCCGAGATTTAGATTACAATTGAAAAAAATTGTATTATTATTCGCCAATAAATATCAGAAAGAGCCATTTTTGTCAGTTTATGTTTAAGTGGCAACGTTAGGACTACCCAAACGCCACCTTTTTATTATTTCTTTCCAATAAAAAAAAATAAGTTTATGTTTTAGTTGATTATCGATAAAGTTGATTATTGAAAACACGAATATAACGACATTTTCTAAAAATACCTGAGCCACCGAGCTTAGCTCGGAGTTTTTGGTCCAAAGTATAATTTTCTTTAAAAAAAAAACAAAAAACTTGAATAAATACAAAAAAAAAAACAAAAATAAATTATACCTTTGTATTCGACCGGGATTCGAACACGGACACTTATTTAACCTTGCGCCTTGGCCGCTTGACCGTGATGCTTATATCCGAGAGCGCGAAATTATCGAATATAATATTTTGCGTGGAATAATGCAAAAGAAAACCGCATGAAAATTCGAAAACACGCGTTTTTCCAGACATAAGACTAATCTAGATCGATTTATCGCTCCCGAAACCCCTAGTATACAAAATTTCATGAAAATCGTTGGAGCCGTTTTCGAGATTCAGATTATATATTGATATACGAGTATAAACAAGAATTGCTCGTTTAAATATTGTTTTTAAAATTTTTGTGTCTGTCTCGGACCGCATGAAAACAACTGGGCGGATTTTGATAAAATTAGGTATAGTGATAGCTGGTTATCTGAGTCAACATATAGAATACTTTTTACTGCGGGAAAATATCTCATCTCTGAGAAATCTATACTAAACATTAAAGTAATAATCCTATAGTTAATTGTGGACAGAAAAAATTTCCATGCTCTTTTTGAGCATTTAATATGAATAGTTAGACTCTACATAGTTTTACGGACTCTTTTTTACAACAATTTATCCCCTCTTAAAACTTTTCAGTGATCACATTGAGTTCTTCCTCATAGAAAAATACACGTATTATTAGTTAAATTGACTAATGGTATATATTGAGTACACTATTTTTCTACGATCTATATAAATATTATCATTCATATAAAAAAACTGTTTTCAAATATTTTTTTATTGAAAACACTGAAACTAAACAAAAAAGAGAAAATCGGGTGATAAACGGGAGAAAAAGGTACTCAGCTGGTGTCTTACCTATTTATACAGATCCTGAGTTCTAATTAGTGCTCTTACAGGTGCTCTAAAATCGCACCCGTAGTGGTTGGTCTCTTTAATTGTACTCTAGACGTGCAGAACCGTACGTGTCAGTTTTAAATAGCTTTTAACCCCTTATTTGTTTAATAAAATTGATTTTGGAAATACGTACATAATCTTGTATCATTGTAAAACACCACATAAAATCGTGTCCTTGAGACAGTTAAACACAATAGATGAATTTACATCTATTTACATCCTATTGACGGCATTGTTTTTGGTGTAATTTTTTACTGTTTTGTCACTTTTGCTTATCCCGCGGGAACATTTACTTCTTTTATTTTTACACGATCATTATCGTACACGATCTTCTTTTATTAAGGCAGTGGTAGCCCAGTGGTAACGCGTTCGCTTGGGAAACCAAATGAAGCGGGTTCAAATCCCCCGTCTCGAACTTCTGATATTTTCATGTGCGAATCATTGCCAATATGATTACCTACCACTTGTCTTAGCGGTGAAGGAAAATGTCGTGAGGTAACCTATATTATGTCTGAGAGAACCTAGCGAGTTTTTGAAAGACATGTGAAGTCCGCCAACCCGCACTTGGCCAGCGTGGTAACTATGGCCTAATCCCCCTCGTATTGAAGGGAGGTCCGTGCCCAGCAGTGGGACGTTAAAAAGTAATAAATATATTTATTTATACACAAGCGACTTAACCTAGCTTTTTTTAACGATGTGAAATGCATTTACTAATACCACCCGCATACATACAGGTGGTTGTGTGGGACTCACCGGCATTTTCACTGCGGGAAAATATCTCATCTCTGAGAAATGTATATTGTATACTAACCGTCAAAACATATCTAGAGCATCTGATCGGAGCGAGAGTGAGTCGCTAGTTTATTATATAACAATTATCAGTATTACAAATAATATATTCATGATAGTCACAAGACATGTGACACTAACATCTCTCACTTTCTCACCAAAAGCGTGGGAAGCATGACAATCCGCGTCTAATAAATGCATAATAAAAAATTAGTCAAATACATATATTTGTTATAAATCTACATAATAATATTTAAAATGCAAACTATATTCACTACACAGTTCTGCTATCATAAGTTATCAGATCAACTTAGGACCATACCGTTTGTTTTCATTAAAAATGGAAATTAAAATCAACATTAATGACAAATGTTTGTTTTGAAATTTTTAAGAAAACAAAATATAATGAAATTGTCAGATTAATATAAATACTTCATAAGAAGTACCTACATACATTATTACATATAATAAAATTATAACTAGGCCTTTGTACATTAAATATTTTTTGGAAAATCTTATTGCAATAGACATTTATAATCGATACAGAGGCCAAACCTACAGTTTTTAGAATGTTTATCTGTCTGTGACTGCATCACGAGAAAACCACTGGACAGATTTTGATGAAATTTAGTATGATGATAGCTGGTTATCCGGGTCAACATATAGGATACTTTTTACTGCGGGAAAATATCTTATCTTTGAGAAATCTATACTAAACATTAAAACTTAAGTAGGGGCGAACCCGAGTAGAGCAGAGCGAGGGTGAGCTGCTAGTAAATAATATTTTTATTTCTCATAATATGTACGCTCATCACGTGCACGTACGCAGTTCGTGGGCACTGGGCAGTCGCCGGAATCCACTCGATGATACCGCAAGACTGGCTGTCACATTTTAAATTTATTAAACATTATTTTCATCAATTTTCGATAAAAATACTTCTTCACTACAATTATTACAATTACTATAATAAGAAAGAATTTATAAAATAATACCTTTAAAAAAATAACCGATTTCGACTTGTATGCATTAAATAATAAGAAATAACTGAACAGGTTTTTTTATTGCCTACTAGTTAAAAGTCACACAATGGTATATGTATAGTATATTTGGGCTTGTTCCCGCAACTCGACGCTTTGCGCCTATTTTGTGTGTGTGGGAAATTATTCACTCGTGTTACTCTTGCCAGCTCAGTTCCTCCAGGAATTTCAACAATCTCTTCGTCTTGCTGAAAACCTCCTGAAGTGTACTAAGGGTGTGAAGATATAGAGCCCCGTATGCCGCTACACCTGGACAAAATAAAATTACTTGTGCAGCTTTTTCATTTGCTCTCATGCAGGCCCTGCAGATTGGGCTGTCAGTTATACCCAAATTAAATAGATTTTTACTGTATGGTCCGTGACCTGTTAGAGCCGCGGTTATCTGTCTGAGTTGAGGTCTATTGAGATTAATCAGACGGTTAGTCGTTTTGGCGTAAACGGTAGGAAGCGATTCCTTCGTCTGCCTACAGTCTACAACTTCACGCCATATGTTGTTGTGTAGTCAGTCGTCTTGTACGTGGTTGTATTTGACCTTTGAGCCAGCAAAAAGGTAGCGCCGCGATGGGCTCGGGTCCTATTGCTCTCAAGTCCGACGCTCTTCTTGCTAGCTCATCGGCCCTATCGTTGCCCCAAGAGTTACTGTGACCATTTTATATTATTTTTAATTTATTGTATGGAGACCTCATTTCGGTCACTTGCCTGTGTCAAAGCGTTAAGAAATTCATAGATCATACCTGAGGTGATAGAATTACTATTTAATGCCTGTAGTA